CTCCTGTACTTGGTGCTTTATACATCTCACTACCTGAATTTTCTCAAAAAATCCTCTAAATTCAGCCCAGGTCTTCCCAGTTTTCAAAAGCACAATGACCTAGAAATGGAAATGATGCATCTAAGGTTAGAAGTCCATGTATCGGTGCCTGACTTACCACACAGGTCTCAATCTCAAAAGCCAAGGCTCTCCATAGCAAATGCCAAAATCTGAGAAATATTTCTTGAGTGGAGTTTGCTACCATTGCATGACCTTGACGCCCTGTCTTCAGTCAATGCCTCACACACTTCAATAGCATTACATGTTCTTCCAATGGTGCTGCTTTCCAAATTTGAATATGACTTTAAATCCTCCTTTGATAACTTTTCAACAACCATATAAATAGGTAAAAAGCATCACTGGCTTTATGTAAATCCCTGAAACTAAATTTGGTCCTTAGAGCAAGTTTAAAAAAGGATAAAGCCCCTTTTCTACAGCTCAGGGGTAAAAATCCATGAGAGGAAACCAGCATAATCTGGCCCAAATCATGGAGAAAATGAGGCACTTCTAACAGTCGCACACACAGTAAGAACTGGGTAGAAATACTTATGCCCAAACCATAACAATCACATTAGCTCTCTGCATTTGCATAGCATTTTATAATTTGCTCTTTTGCAGACATCATTCGATGCATTCTCACCACGAAAGTGTGAGGTTTTATAGGTAAAGAAATAGACCCTGCAAAGTTCCATGACCTGCTTGAGGTCACAGAGCCAAGAAAAAAGGGCATTCTTATTAACCCAAGGTCCTCCAGACTGGAAATACCATCCTCACATGTTCATCTTCACTTCCTTGCTTTGGTTCTTTCTTTCTTTTTTTTTTCCATAATTTTATTGAGAGATAAATAGCAATGAGACAGTTTCAAATCAAATTGGTAGGACAGTTTCAATAATTAACACATTGCATACTCTCTTCCTAGTGGTTATTTGCTGTACAAAATGCAGACATGATATCCTATTTACAAACACTACTAGTACAAACCCCTCTATTCATTAAGAGAATGTAACTATATATCTATCCTAACCATTTTGAATACACAGATACAAAATGGACATTCATCTGTATCCCCCTTTTTGTTTAATTCTGTCACTTGAATATTATAGGTGTGTTAACTCAGCAAAATATTCTAAAAGAGTCCAGTAGTTCATAATAGTATTGAATCTTCCACTTGACCGGCAATGTCAGAAATTATTGACCTGAGTCCCCTACAGCTCAACATAACAGCATGGCTTCACTTCTTATACTTCATTTTTATAGTTTTCTGCTGGATAGTTAAGATCAAGGAAAAGCAGGACCTATGCAACCAGAGTTGTAGCTTTTGGATCTGATAAGGTCAGTCAAATCCCCTCAGGATTTATCCTGAGATCCTATACCTCAGATTGTAGATCCTTTGTCAGTGTCAGCCATGTGGATGAGTCACGGCCATTGCTTGGCCAGTGTGCTCTCTGTGAAAGCCTGAGAGAATGTTTTCTCTCCATGTGACTCTCCTTATGCACACTCTACATTATCAATCACTTTCCTCTTTGGCCCCATAATCTCCTTGATCAGAAAATTTGGGATACTACTGAGTTACATGATGTTACAGTACAAGCTCTCATATGTCCTGAGTCTTAATTGACCTTGGAAAGCTAGGGCCAAAATATTGGCTTTCCTTGAGGCCCTCCTTTTTCTCTAATTTTGGTCTGCAAACTTTGGTTGTTAACCCTCCAGAAGAGAAGCTTATTGTTATTGCCATGCAACCTAGGCTGTTAAGCTTAACCGCACTATCTGTCTGAATATCAAACATCTTAGGCATGGAACAGGTATTTTTCATCAAGTATTGATATGTTGAACTTTAAGTCCCAACAGAATATGATGAAAAAACATTTTAAAAATTAAAATATATTTTAAGGCAATGATCCTGAGAATCTTCAGAAGATTTTTGAATCTAGCAGTTAATTGGAATGATTCTCACCCTGTTTAACTATATATACAGACACCTGTGAACTAAGCAACTGCACTGAAGATGGCAATTTATAATAGTAGGTTCATGCTTGGAGTGCCTGCCATTCTGGTCTTCTGAATATGGCTGCTTGTCAGTACATGCCAGTTGCTGCCATGCTGTCTCTTGGGTAGATGATGGTTAAAAAAGAAGGAGGTAGTGTATGAAGGCAGGAGACAGGAAAAGGAATGTTGCAGGACTGTCCTGCTACAAGGTTGTATATGGTTAGATTTCTGGACTTATGTGTAAACATAAGAATTATATAATTCTTTATGCCTAGCTTTTGTTCTTTCTTTTCCCACCTTTTTACTCTTTTACTCCCTCTGTCCTTCCTCCAGGAGGTAGTTCATGAAACTAGGAGTGGCTCCAGGGAGCCTCACTCTCTCGAGCTTTCTCTTTCTCTCTGTCTCTGTCTCTGTCTGTCTGTCTGTCTCTCTCTCTCTCTCTCTCTGTCTCTCTCTGTCTCTCTCTGTCTCTCTCTGTCTCTCTCTCTCTGTCTCTCTGTCTCTCTCTGTGTGTGTGTGTGTGTGTGTGTGTGATACTTCTACTTCTTTGAGTATTTGCTCCTTTCTTTTTCTCATTCCTAGCTTTCTCTGTTTGCTCATCACTTCTGCTTATTCACCCTGTTTTTTTCCTTAGAGGCTCACCCAACTTTGGTCACTGGTGGCAAACCTTTCAGAGCTGTCAATAAGAAGCAGTATGTTGCAGCACACATACCAAAGGTAGCCTTTTCCATTGCAACTGGTTGTCCTGAATCTCCTAGCACTGTGTAGCTCATTCGCCATGAGCTCAGCTGCACCCAGTTTGATACAGATGAGGAGGAAGTGAGAGAGAGTCACTCCTTGTTGCTCCTTGTTTCTGTTACCCCTTTTGTTATAGAATGATGAGGTTTGTAGAACTATGGGAACAACACTTTTTTAAAAACAGTAAATAAAAGGGAAGACCACACCTGTTAGCCTGAGGACCCAGCAAATCCCAGGGGCAACATCAATATCCACAGTAAGTGCTCAGTGAAGTGTCAGGACAGTAGAATATAGCGTGGTGGTGAAGCACTTACGGTACATGTGCTGCAGCAGGCTGCATCACTGAAAGCTCTAAAAGGTCCTCCATCACTGACAGAATGGTTGGAGCAAGGTCTTTGGAGCCAGACAGGAACGGAACTGAATCTTAGCCACACCACTTCCTAGCAATGGAGACCTGAGGAAGCCTTATCAATCAGCTCAGCTTCAGTTTCTTCATCTGTAACCTGGAACTCATGAGACTTGTTGCTGGACTTGGGAATTCATCTACTGCTATTCATTAAGCATTCTTTGGTATGAAGCTAATTCTAGGTACTAATGATATAATAGTGAACAAGACAAAATCCCCTACTACATGAGAAAGAGAAAGAGAGACAGAGAGAGACAAAGACAGAGAGAGACAGAGACAGAGAGACAGAGACAGAGACAGAGACAGAGAGACAGAGAGACAGAGACAGAGAGACAGAGACAGAGAGACAGAGAGACAGAGACAGAGAGACACAGAGACAGAGAGACACAGAAAGAATGGAGAACATTCCAGTTGTTAAACCAAAGGAAGCCATGAACGTCACATTAAAATCACCTGGGGAGCTTTTTAACTCCTCTTACCCTGGTCACACTTCATACCAATTAAATTAAAGAGTCTAGTAGTGGTAACCAGGCATCAGAATTTGCTAAAGATTCCCAGGTGATTGTAATGTGCACAGTTTGGAACCTACAGCCTTAGCAGAGAACAGTCCCTAGACAGACGGCTGCCTCTGCCTCTTTAATGCCATCCCAGCTAAACATGTGTTTTTCATTCACTCTAACTGGAGGCTAGGCCATTCTGAGCAAATGAATATTTAAATTAGCAACTAAAAGGATAAGGTGATTGGAGGAAGAAACAATGTGCATTAATTCATTATTTACAAAAATGTGTTTGGGCTTTCTTTGTCCATGGCGTACCTGAGATCCTTAGCCCAATGCCTGTGAAGCAGTTCTGTGACAGTAGCCCCTCAAAAGTGTCACCATTCAGATGCTGCTGCTAAGCTCTTTTCTCAAGCAGGGGAAAACCTTCAGAGTTGCTTAGAGTTGAAACCATTTGCAGATGGGCATCAGGAGCAACTACTGTAGACTACCGCTCTCTGTACATACATCTTGTGTGTTGAGGAGGTTCTTTAAGCCCCAAAGAGATCTCAGTTTTTGGTAGGGAGAATAAAAAGTGGACTGCTAGAGCCCTAATTTAAAGGACTGCTACCTTCCTATTCTCTACATTAGAACTGGATCAACTGTGACTTATTTCCTTCTAGCTAACAAAAGCTTCAGAGCTATTACTGAATCCTAAATCCATGTAAAACAAATATTTCATCTACTTTCACTTGCCCTGAGTGAGGCAGAAGATTAGGGTGTGGCCAACTGGCTGAGCAAGTAGGCATGATATGTCAATGACACATCCAGAGCACAGGAGCAGAAAGGACTTGGACCTAGCACCGGCCAGAAAGTGCTACCTTCAATTCTTCTGGCATAAAATCAATCAGGGTTTTAATAGGATGGTCTAGATCTTGATCTCAGCCTGAAGAATGGAAGGATATAAAAGACATTTGCTAAACATGTGGCTGCTGTGAGTATACTCACTCTCCGAAGATGCTTCCTCTCCTACCTTTAATTGGCCCTCTCTCACTCTATGAAGCATACTTCTTATTCTACCTTTAATAAATCTAGAACTTCACAATCTCTTCCACATGTCTTGTCTAATTTGCAGCTCAGGACACCAAGAACCTGGAAAGAACCCCTGCCAAGAATCTACTCATCCAGTCCCTGGTAACACAGGAAGCCAGTGAGTGGTCTTCATGAACCTTAAACCAGGCTTTCAGCTAACACTAAGCTGCATCCTTGACCAAAAGTAGACCTTATCTGCATGTGCTGTTAGTTTGTGAACTGCAAAGGGAAGAAAAGATGCTTCTTTTGCCGTGTACACCAACCTGTAGAAGGATGGTGGTTTTATACTGACTTTTCATCAGGTTGTTGATGGATTCAAAAAGCCGCCTCATGGATTCTTCAAACTCCATCTGTTCTTTGCCTTCATAAAGCCTGAAAGAAGACACACCCAGGTCACTTCTTGAGTTAACAAGCAGTACCTTTGAAAGTACATACCAGCTCCAACCTTCATTTAAAATTTAAAAGAAAAAAGGAAGGATGGGACCTTCAAGGGAAAAGGGGTTGGTCAGGAGTCGTGCTGTACATAATTCACTTAAGGGAAAAACCTCACACCCACTACCATGAACCAACCTCATTCCCTCAGTGGGGTATAATAAATCCATTCCCCCACATTTTTTTTAACCTTGAAGAATCTCAGAGGAAATGAATGTTATCTGAGTGGAGAGAACAGTAATAATTTTTCTTCTTGCTAAAATTAGAGGAGGGATTGTGGTCAGTGGATTTTCACAGGCTCCTTAAAACATCAAAGAGAAATACTGTGGTACCTCAATTCCCAAACCTAATTCTTTTCATGATTCTGGCAACAGAATTCCTATTCTGGTCACAATATTTTCCTGCTCTCTCCTTTTAGGATTGTCCTTATGGCCTCATTCAAATGCATGTTGCCTTGATTGGTAAAGACCCTATGTTATTGTAAAAAACAATAATGTAAGCCTAGCAGGATTACATAATTTAGAAAGCAAGACTTCTCCTTAATCCACATGAGGAGATAAGCTGCTATTATACGTTATGTGCATCACTCTAAGTAGTTTTGGTGCTTTGCCTCATACACACATGTAGCTGCCTAGAAACCATCTTTCATATAAAATCAGGCCCTGTGTCTTATCAGTTCCTTCCTCTAGCCCTAGCAGCATTGCTCAGTCCAAGGCTTCACCAAACAAGCTTTCATCACAAGCCATGAAACATCCACAGTCTAATCTGTGGTAGCCAGAGGGAAAAACACAGAAGAGCACTCTGGTCTCTCGTTCAGATAAAGAGAGTCTCTTCTGTCACAGCTCTCCATATCAAAAACTTGTTGGAGGCCTGGGCTTTGGTAAAGGTGCTTTCCTTAGATAAAGCACTGACACATTTAACAGATTTGCTTGCTCTGTCAGCCATGGCACAGGCCCCTCACAAATCCTCATCCAGCCTCTCGCCCTCCTCCTTACCTCTTCTCTCTACCACCTCTCCCTGGCCCTAACTCTCTCTCTGTTTATCATCTTTGCAGGAATCACTTTCTCTCTATACATCCCTATGTTTTTATCTCTCTTGTTTTCCTCTCAGTGTCTCTTCCTTTTTCCCTACCATTTCTCTCTCACTCTTTCTCCTCCCCTCCCCTCCTTTTCCTCACTAATCCTCTCTGAAGCCCCACCTCACCCTACCCCATAAGCAGCTGAAGGGAAATCCAGTCCTGGATGCTTCAGGCTGTTATGGGGACCCAGCCATTGCTGCCTACCTTCCCCTTGTCTGATTCAAGGTCATAGTACTAAAGCTGTGAAGGCAAGCCCAAAGTCCTGAGTGGCCTTGGGCCTCAGGCTCCTTCATTCACTTCCGCTGCATGTAGTTTATTCCTCCCCCCTCTTTGCTCTACTCCTTCCTGAACCTCCTTGCTCTGAGTTCACATCTCTGCCTAGCAGTCAGAACAGGGTAGACAGCACAGAGCATCACTGTGCTGTTGCACTGCTCAGGTGGATATCAGATCCCATTTAATGGACTGACGGCTTTAGCTCCTGCCCTAGGATACAATCTCAGTGAGCATTAGAGGCAAAAATTCAAACACATTCATCTAGCTCTGTAACCCCTCACTTTGTGCAGCAGTCTCTGAGCTATCTTAATTTCTACAGGCCTTGATTTCTCACCTGCACAAGGCACGCCATCACAGAACTGTGTCAAGGAACTGTGAGGTGACCAGTTTACACTGAGAGGGCTAGCACGACACTTGGTTCTTAATGAAGTTTCATAGCTGTCTCATTAATTGTATGGGTAGAAGCATTAACATTGCTGTCATCTCCACTACATAGACAAGTAAATAGAAAATTCTTGAAAGAGTGAAACTTGCTCAAGTTCCACCTGCTATAGTTTGGATGGTAGTTTAAAAGCTTGGTTCCCAGTATGCCTACATGAGAAGTGGTGAGAACTTGAAGAGGTGAGGTCATTAGGTCACTGGAAGCCGCCCTGGGAGAAAGGATTACTGTCATTCCCTTGGGACCTAGTCACAGGCTGGCTTCCTGTCTTGCCATGTGATGTCTCCCTTTGCCTGTGCTCCAGCCATGGTGCCATCCACTATGAGGTCTTCACTGGAACCAAGCCAGTATCAACGCTGTGACCTTTGAACTTCCAGAACTGTGAGGCAGATAAACCTCTACAAAACTGCTGGACCTGGCATAACTCATTGTAGCAAGAGAAACAGGCTGATACACCACTAAAGTAGAAAGCTTTGAATCCTGTTCTATACTTTATCTGACAGGGAAGACAGAACCTAAACTCAATCTTATGGTGGTGACTTTCTGAGATGGGACTTTTTCTTTTCCACAAGCTGGTGGTTAGTTCATCCTTCAAATCTTTGGCCTCATAATCGCTTTTATCTTTCTTACTACCCATGGCTACCTGAAAATGTTTAATAAACTATATCTGAATGGCTGTTACTGGTCTGAACAGAGTCTGCTCACTATCTCCCCTGCCCCGTACTTACTACCCAGACCCTGGAGCCCATGTGCTTATCCACAGAAAGGCTCTTCCTATATGTGTCCCCTTTGTATATGCTTGTGTGTGGTACAACAGTTCTGAAAAGATCATCTTCCTGGGGCTGGGGACCACTGGCCCCACTCACAAGCATGGTCTCACCAACATGCTTCTGCTGAATGACTTACCCAAGCTATCCCCACCCTCTGTGACTGGGTGGCATGACAGTTCTGTTGCTCTCTCTGGAATTTGCCATTTTCAACAGAGAAACATAAAAAGGAGACTTTGTTGGGAACTACCTAAATGCTAGTACACTGGTGGGATGTTCTTATACTTCTGCTAAATAGATCACTGAAGCTCCTGTGGCTCCCAGTACTGTTTTCAGATTTTGTAGCTGTAAAAGTACCCTTACAGTAAATTCTCCTTTCTATTCAGGCTCACCCTGGTTGGTCTCCTTGTGAGCTTCTCTAGTCAGAACTTAGCAAAATGGAATGAGCTTCTTCCCGCAGCTCCCTGTTGTGGGTTTGAAGTGAAGAGCTCATGGGAAGTCCAGCAAGCGAGCACTTGGTCTGTGCTCTTAGTGGACAGAGGGAGAGAGGGTCAGAGTGGGATGTGACTTGCACTACTGTTTTAATATTATTTGGAGGTGAGAAATAGAAGTAAAAGAAATCTTTAGATTATATATAACAACAACTCAAGGCTTTCCACTCGACTATGAACTTCATAGGAAACTGAATTTAGTTTCCATTAGCAAAAGGGATGTGGTTTGCTCTGTCATGGACGTTATCCATGGCGGAGCATAAACTCGAATTCACCATTCTTCTTCTAGCTCCAAGAACCTAGCAAGAGAAGGCAGATCACACCAATCCCATGAAGCAGAGGCAGGGGCTCACGCCCCAGGAAGAATCAAGTCTCTTTCTGTTTTTCACATTACAAGCTAAGTACCTATATGACATGCTCAAATCTGGGGATGGAAATATATTCTGCACTTAAGCAAGATTCATAAATGTTAAAAAGGATATATATAATGTTTATATAAATATATACAATGCATATATAATTCCTATATATGATATTATATATATAATACCTATATAGGTGTGTTAATGACATGCATATGTATCTGGTACATTGTATATCTAGCATATACCTATGTGTATATATATATAGTACATTATGTATAGTACATTATGTGTATTTATATATGTATGTATGTATGCAGTACCTTATATGTACATATGTACAGCATTAAGGAGATGGACTAGCTGGGAATGGAAAGAGAAGCCAGCAGATACTGCTACCATTGGGAAGAAAGAGAAGAAAGCCTGTTTATCTCTCTGCAGCCATGTACTGGCAGTGTAGGCTCAGTCAACTCATTTTCCTGAAATTTGGTTTCCTTTATTGGTAAAATGAAGGTACAATGCTCACCCAAAGATCTATTTTGAGGTTAAAAAACATCAGACAATGTCTCTCAAACACTTCATACTTTAGCTAGCATTTAACTAGCATTAAGCAAACACTGGCGATTCTTACTGTTGCTGGCTTCCGATCATCCAAGTGCTCCTGTTGGCAAACTCTCTAATCTGAGTGTAAGGAAAGGGGGCTTCAGGTAACAAGAGGTCAAAAAAATGGGTCTTAGGGAATAAGGAAGGAATATGACAGTGGGGTAACCCAGCATGGTGCAACTTGCCCTGAGTGATCTGAAAGGCAGTGTGGTGCCTCGGCTGTCTGTGTTTATTTACACTGTTTGTTGTTGTTGCTGCTGTTTGTTTGCTTGGTTTTTTTTGCAGTACCAGGGATTGAACTCAGGACCCTGCACCTGACAGGCAGGCACTTATTCTACTGAGCTATCTCCCCGGCCCTGTCTGTGCTGCTCTCAGCGTGGCCTTGAAGTCAAAAGCGCTGCAGACGTAGCTTCTGTGTTCTTTTTAGGGCTCGCTCTCTGCTGTAGCTTCAGGCGAGAAACATCCTTTCCAGCCCAGAAACGATACTTGAGAAATAAGCTGATCGTGCCAGAGCACAAATTACCGAAGGGCCCTAAGGCCCTGACCACAAGCAAAACTGGAGCAAGCTGAGAGGCGCTGCTCTGGGCATCTGTGTCTGACCACAGCCGATGCTCTGGCTCCCGGGGCTTGGACAAATATAGCGGTACTCAGCTCCTATGCGATTCATCAAGGAGACACTGCGCTCGGCTGAGTGCTCCCGAAATGCACACATGGCGCCCCGTGCGGTGGGACAGTGCTTCACGGCAGTCACCCCTGTCATCCAGGTATATAAGGCCTCAGCCCTAGCTGAGATGCAAGCCTCAGGCCAGCAGCCCACAGGGGTGGAATCTAACCAAAACGACCTTCAACTGTGGCAAGTGAGGGGAAACTGACCTCAGATCCAGAGGCAGGGATCTCTTGCTGCGCTGGCCCTATTTTGCTTCCCAT